AAAATTCCACCAGCGTCTCAAGACCGATAATTATCATGGAGATGTGACCCGACTAATGCTCATTGGAGCATGGAGACGCCATATTTTTTTGCCATCTCTCTTTGTTTCCAGATGTTTCTGTTTTCGCGGCTGTGCTGTGTTTTAGAGCTGCAGTTCCTGAAGAAGCGCGAGACATCGTGCCCAACGGCACGCGATCCAACCCGGAGGGATGTCTGCATTTCTTGCTTTCAGTGCCGCGTTATATTTTTGAAGCAGGTGTCCGTGACGCGTCCGCAATTGACACCGGAGTGCCACGGCGACACGCAGGCCCGCCGCGTGCGTTCACGCTCGAGTCTCCCTCGCGCGTCTAGGTGGGCGGCAAGGACTCCGGCAAGGCGGCGCACGGGGAGGAGGAGGCGGCGGTGACGGAGGCGGCGCTGCTGCGAGCGGCGCGCGACCCCGTCGTGGTGGAGGTGCTGCGCAGGGGCCGCCCGTCGCTGGCCCCACCGAGGCCACCGGGCGGACGCGCGCGCACGGACGCCAGCACGCAGACTGAGTTGCCAGCCTCGCCCAGCGGTCCGCGCAGCCCGGCCACGCCGCCCCTGCCCAACGTGCATCCCCTGCTGCTGGCCCAGGGGTCAGTGCTGATGCTTTGCCCATGGGTCGTGGATTTACTGCCATCAGACTCTCTTGTACCACAATAATAAGAATGCTGTGCGCTGTTTTTGAGTTGTACGCCTTTTGGCGTCATCTGGTCCAACACCAATGGAGACTAGGCTCTAAGAAAAGCTGTCTCGGATGTGGACCAATCAACTTCAAGGACAGTGATTATCATTATCAGAATTGTTTCTTTGTTTGCATTTTGACTGCTTGTGTGTGGTTATTGCAAACATGATGCCTTGTATAAAGGTGTCAGTTTTGTACCAGTTGAAAGGGTCAAAACCTATTACAATAAGAATGCTGATTATGTATCTGGGAAAGCCTGAATGTGGCCCAAGACTTGTTCTCAGGAGGGGATTGTGCATTGTGATGTTTGGCCTCTTCCGCTTATGGGTGTTTGGCTTCCTGTGTGAGGAAGCTGGAGTAGGCAGAGGCAACCCACCATGCATACGAGGGAATAACACGGCACAAATTGGTTCAATCCTCAGACTCAATCCAGTAAGTGGACCAAAGCTATATATTTTGACATTGCTTTATCTTAATCAATTTTGGTTCAATGTAAAATCCATTTGTCCATACATACAATGCTGCAACGATCCGTAAGCTTAATATTAATAACTAAGGCTCGCAAAGCGTCAACTTACATGTGTAAGTATCGCTTTTTAATTGCAAGCAACATATCTGCATCTGTTACAATTATGCTTATGGAGTGGAAAAAACTACGAACAGGACAGTAATAATAGAGGAGACTCAAAAAAAGATTCTTAAAACAAATCGAGATGCATAATTGAACCACATCCACAATCACACGGTGCAGCAATTACTCACGTGTGTGTGACATCACCCGAGGGATGCGTTAATAAACAAAGCATCGGGACAGCACCACGCAGCCCCCTGTGTGCATACACGAGACGCGCGCTGCTCATGCCCTCCGTCGCGTATAACTCCGAGGACATTTGCCGCACTTGGTGTCTCCCATGCAGCCTCTGTGAGCTGCCATCCGAATACTTTGACTCAAGCGACTACCTTCCCAGCATGCAGCAGGATGCCCACCATGCGGAGGGTCTGGAGTATGAGGTGAGGAGTCTGCATGCGCGGTTAGCACCGCGTTATATCGTGCTCTTGCGTAGCTGCTGCACCTCCACGTTCCACCGCACATCCGTCAGCAAATGAAACATCAGCGCTAGGGAGAGAAAGAGGCAGCAATGTGTGGCACTGACAACACCGCCCCCAAATGCCGTGTTGGCCTCGGCAAGTGCTCGCTCACAGCACTTGCCCCAGCAGTACGCGAGGTTAAACTGGGAATATTCTGCTCCGGGGCGGTAGCGTAACCAAGTGGTGGGGCTTTTGCCATTTGTTGCAAAGGTTTACGGTTTGAGCCCTGAAGCCGCCTTGGTTAATACTGCTGATTGTTTAACACGTAGTGTCTCGGCCTCGCTGTGCGCTGCGTTGCCCCGCTAGCTGAGTAGTTAACCTCGCGTCCAATAAACCCTCAGAGCCAGGATGAACGTCTGACTCCAAACGTCATTTATTTAATTTAACGAGGTAAAACTGGTGAGAAAACAGCACAGATACAGCATCTGTTAATACCCGGAAACACCAACACAATGAATGAACACCACAGCATCATAACATTGTCTTAGATAACATGTCTCTAAACAATAGATCCTGGATGGACCAGGCCCCTACATTACCACTGAATAACTATACAAGAGCATAAGCTGCTGTGTTACATAAAGGCACACCGTGTTATCATCACACTGCACCCCAGATGTACAGTACTACACATAACACTGCACTATGAATGAGACATTTCGTCATCCTTGCTCTCCAGATCGCAATAAAGTTATTTGGGTACAAGTTTGATTCGACTTATTAAATTACAAGTAACATTCACAATAAGGAAAGTTACAGGCTTCGTTGTTAACTAGGCCTCGTATTTATCATAACAATTTAACAGCATTATAAAGGCATTTACATCATTATAACGGTCATTCTAACATTATAACAGTATTACCAATATTATAAGAATATAAACGAACTTACAGACAATGCTTCTTAAAGTCCCACAATGGACAATTGCGGCTGGCTTCACTGGGATGCGATGTGTGCCGCCATCTTGAATTATGTGTGTAATGGCCGACGCCCGCGTGGTTGAGCGGGAATCTCAAATCGCAACTTCCTGGTCACGTGACCAAACTTAGCATCAAAAACAGGAAATTAATGTGTACATACGCCCCCCCCCCCCATCTGCCGTGAGGCAAAATCCCTGCCGTGAGGCAGAACACGTAGGCTTTCGCGACCAATATTATTCATAATAATGTTTTTGAGTTAGATCGCGGATGTAATTACCAGTGAAACGTCGTACCCAAAAACTGTAAATGTTGTGGATTCACTCTTCAACACACCGGTGGGCTAAAGTAGTGAACTATTTGTCTTTTGTCAACGTGACACTTTTTTACTGATTGGCTGTCTCGGGTGGTGGAGGGTTACAACACATTTATAAATAACGTGATCTAACCCAAAAACGTTTATTATGAACTACTGATTATATAAACCATAAAAATAGATCTACACGACGTCTGCGTCACGGTGTATACTAAAGATCCTCTGACACCATTTGAAATTGTGTGCCACGTCACGGTCCAAATTTGACACATTACCCACTTGCTCTCAATCCCATCCCTGCTTCCCTTCTACCGGACTCTTTCCTTTAATATTACCCGACCTAGTGTCCCTATGAAATTCCTCCCTTTCCACTGGTGTCTTTCCTGCAATCTATAAGTCAGCCATTATTGTACCACTCCTCAAAAAATCATTTTTGATACCTCTTCTCCTGCGAACTACCAGCTCATTCCCCTTCTCCCCGATTTCCCCCAAAACTCTTAGAACACCTGGTACACTCTCGTCTTACCCACTACGTATCATCTAACTCTCTCTACCCCCAATTCCAATCTGGGTTTCGTCTCTCTCATTCAGCCGAAACGGCTCAGACTCACCTGGCTATCTCTGCCCCTTGTGGCCTCTCTTCTATACTCCTCGATCTGTCCTCAGCTTTCGAAACGGTTGACCATCCGACTCTTTTTCGCTACACTCTTCTCTTGGTATCTCTGTGCGCACCAATTTCCTGGTTACAGTCCTACCTCTCCGTGCGCCCCTCTCGGTCTCATTCAATCATCGCCGCTCCCCCCCCCCAGCCCCCTTCACTGTTGGTGCTCCTCAAGCGTCAGTTCTTGGTCCCCTACTTCTCTCTCTCTCTCACTGCTTGCATCTTTCCTTTCTTCGCTGAACTTTCCCCATCATTTATTCGCAGATGACATCAACATTTTATTCTCATTTCCTTCCTGTTCCCGTGACCTCGCCTCCCGCATCTCATCCTGTCTGGTTTCTATCCAATCTTGGATGTCACGTCACTTTCTCTCCCTCATTCCTTCCAAAACTCAAACGATCTTTTTCCAAACCTCCCGTTCACCTCCTCACTGTCCCACCATTTATTTCCCTCCTTTATCTATTTCCCCTGTTTCCTCAGTCACAACCTCACTGTTGTTATCTTTGACTCTTCCCTCTCCTTCATGGTCACATTTCCTCCACGACCCATATTTGCCGGTTTCATTCGTTCAACATTCGCAAAATCCGACCGCTTATTTCCATTTCTGCTGCAACGCTTCTAATCCATTCCCTTATCCATACCCGTCTGGACTACCGCAACTCTCTTATGCTCGGTCTGCACATTTACTCTTTTGCCCCCCTTCTACAAGTCCAAAATGACTCTCCTGGGCTCATATTCAACCCTCCCTATAATTCCCATACCTCGACCTTCCTCGCGCAACTGCGTTGGCTCCTTGTCCATTACCGTTGCCTGTTCAAATTCCTCACCCTGCTCTGCAAATCCCTTCATGGTCTTGTCTCACCATATCTTGCCACGCTAATTTCATTCTACGTGTTGCCTTCCCGCCCTCTGCGTTCACAATCTTTGCTGTCTCTCTCTGTTCCTCTCCTTCTGCTTGCACTCAATCCATGCTTTCGCTCTTTCTCTCTTCCTGCCCCCCCCCCCTCTTCACTGGAACAAACTTCCCCCTCCACATTAAACAGTCGTGTTCGCTCACTAGTTTCCGCTGCACACTCAAAACTCACTTATTGTTATCCCTAGCTCATCCCGCAACCCCTTAAACTCCACCTCGTATCCGCCACCGTTACTTTTCCCTCTCCATATTCTCATCAGATGGCTCTCACTCATTCTCCATTCATTCAATCTATTCATTATCATTCACTGTCATCAATTTCGCTTTCACCGATTTCACACCTCGCAGATTTGCCCATTGCTTCTATTTCATTCACCTCATCTCCTCCATTACATTCACATGTACTATTATTAATTCCGTGTAAAGCGCCTTGGATAAGGCTCTATATAAATGATGTGGAGACAAGATACGGTATAGCAGTCATGTCCCCCTACTGGCAGACTCATGCCATCTGCAGGCCAGGTGCCGAGTTCACATTGTGCCACACGAGGACATGGTCACTTGGGTGCCCTGTGCAATGGTTGAGACGAGATTTTATGTCACTTATCGTTTCGATTTAAAGCTTTCGTGACTGCAGGGATCATCTTCTTGTTCTTTCGGTAGTCCCGTAGAAGGGAAGTAATAAAATAATAAAAATCAAACATAATAAAATATTTCTCACGGACGGTTCGCCACAACGCAAGCAGCCGTCCTGAGGTGAAGAATTAAACACCACTAAGCTTGGAGCGTATATTTAAGCGGGTTGGAGGGGGAAGAAGAGCGCCTTGACAAAAACATATGCAAGGCGCTCTCTTCCCCCTCCACTCAGCTTACAATATACGCTCCAGCTTGGTGGGTTTCATTCTTCACCTGGAGGACTGCTGCTTGCGTTGTGGCCGAAACGTCGTGAGAATTATTTTATTATGTTTGATTTTTATTATTTTATAACTCCCCTTCTACGTGACTTTTCCGAAAGAACCAAGAAGAGGTCAGTTATCGTGTTTGAGAGCCTGCCCTGAGAATAAAATAATCGCTACACTCTGCACCAAACCTGTTGGCATCCCTGCGTTTTGGTATTGGAGGATGTTATAACGAATTTTTTTTCAAACATTGGGCCCGTTCCTCTAATAATCGCCTACTCAAATATTCTTACTACCAACATATCACACGGTTCTAGCCCAGGGTGATGTTTAAAGAATTTTGCCTTTAGTGTACGAGTGTAAAGTCGAACACACTTTTACAGCTTGTATATGGAACATTTTGACATTCCAGGGCATGAGCTGGAAATGGGTCCTACCACTTAAAAACGTTCACACGTGAAGCTGTAAATTTGCGCCAGGCCTTGTGCTTGTGTATCACCATAGGCGCAATCCCCGTGATATTTGTCCGTATCCGCTGGGCTGCGGTGCTTAAATAATGACCATGACTCGTGACACCAAATAGCAGAGGAAACCCATTACCTTGGCCACATGGCTGACTTGGAACGACTTGGCAAAGTCTTTTGTCGTTTGCGGAGCAGATCGTACGGTCGTCCTTACAATAACAATGCAGCCAATTAGTAACCAAATGATAATTGTCTGAAGCACCATTAATTTTTAGCAGAAACATTTGTTCAGACTTTGAAGACTAGTTTGTTTCCTATTAAAGTCAACCAGTAGATTTAATTAGCTCATTATAATGGAGCCTGGCCATTTGCAAATTCCAATTCAATTAATAAACTTCTGAAAAATAGAATATTCCTGAAGATGAATATAAATACGTACGATACAGCAAATGTCAGAACGAAGCTTGCAAATGGCATTTTTCCATAATCCCCACTTAAGCTTCATTTACAATATAATTAAATCAGTTTTCCTTTTTATTTATGCTGTTATATAACATGTGTACGTGAAATATCTACACACGTGTGTAACGTGTGTTTTATTTCCCTACTCATTGCATGTCCTTGGGGGTTATTGGACCATACTTCACCACGCTGGTCAGTGGTGAGTGACGCCTCGGAACAGATGTTGCAGCATTAGTACAGTGCTGACCGGTGGTGACAACATATACCCCCCGCAGCCTATAGCACCGTTTCTGCATGTGGGTCACCCATCCAAGCACTATCCAAACTGAACCCAGCTTGGCTTCTGATCGCTGATGAGATCAGGTACATTCTGGGCAATCTGGTCCTAATCTTAAAGGCACACAATGTTACTGGCATTGGAAGGAAAACTTCTAAATGCTGAAAAAATACCCTGAAAATGGCTCAATTGGGAAATACAGTCACAACATCACCCCCGACTGAAACAACTTTACGGGAGCCTCCTGAAACATGGGGCTTGAGACTCAGGCTTTCCTGGGAAAACAAGCATAATAATTGATGATACGCATGCCGTATGACAAGAAATAAAACACCTTGTATTTGTTTTTGCGAATGTATCCCATTACCCAGTGGCTTTACACACCTCCAATTAGTACGGTTGGCTACGTACAGTGTGAAAGAAATTCAACAGACCAAGTAGAGTCCGGGCCTCCTGCCCACGGAGGGGGGATTGGGGCAGTGTTCTTATCCGTGGGTGGTGGCCTAGAGGCAGTGGCTCAGGTTTTGCATTTGGTTGATGGGGGCCTACATGGAACACAAACACTGTAGACCTCCCACATGCTTGGACTGTGCTTATTTTATTGACCCTGGACGGCTGACGGGGTTGAGTTGACTGCAAATGGTGTTAGAAATAATGACGTGGCAATTGTCACCCAATCTTTTTCACCACACCACCAACACGTGCCAGTCTAAGGACATGCGAATGTGAGGATGTTGACTGTGGGTGGTGGTGACTGTTGCCTGCTGCTGGGTGCGCAACCATCTCCCCCCCCCTCCTCCTCCCCCTTGTTGCCCACAGGAGGTGGATTTGCACCGGGGCTCAAGCCGGGAGCGGCTCGGCCTCACCGTGTGCTACCGCACGGAGGACGAGGACGACGCCGGCATCTACGTGAGCCAGGTAAGCGAGCAGCAGCAGCACCACCGACGCCGTGTCTGCCTGTCGCGTACGTTGTCCACACAGCATCCAGTGTCCACACAGCATCCAGTGTCCACACAGCATCTACTAAGTGTTCAAATTGCATCCACACAGCATCCAGCCAGCGTTCACAGCATCCACAGTGTCCACGTGTCATGAATAGCATCTACATTGTGATCACACAACTGATTACCACGGTTGGCTACGTACGGTGCAAAAGAGGTTCAACATACATCAGTTCGTATCCACACAGCATCTACACAGCATCCACATATCGTCCACATACTTTCGACGTAGTGTTTTCCCAGCATGCGCATAGTGTCCACATTCACACAGCGTGTAAATTGCATTATCACAGCAACACCAGCATCGCGTTCATCATAGTGAGCTTGTTGTGCATCAATTGTGATTGTTTCAGCTCAGCGGGAAGTTAAAGGACAATTCTCACAAACAGAATGATCAATATATCTACGGCGTTTTGCTTGCAACTGCATCCAGTATCTTAAGCACAAGATGCAGCGAGTCAGAATAACCACGTCATGTGACCCGGCTTCTTAAATAGGTGTCATGACCTCACACTTGGCCTGGCGATCAACACAAACCGACGCACAGACACTCAGACGAGTCGACACCACAAATTAGGCCACGTGTCTGCATGTGTCTTCAACTGTTCCTAATGAACTATACTCGCATTAAACATAGCGTGCGCGCTGACAGAGTGGTGAAACGGTTAGCAGCGCACTGGACTTGCAGTTCGTAGGTCACCGGTTCAACTCCATATCCTGGCACGGCAGTTGCAAGGAAAACGCAAGTTTCGAAAATCCTCCTCTCCACCACCTTTGTTGGGTTCACCACAATTGGTGTTCACCACAATTGGTGTTCACCACAATTGGTGTTCACCACAATTGGTGTTCACCACAATTGGTGTTCACCACAATTGGTGTTCACCACAATTGGTGTTCACCACAATTGGTGTTCACCACAATTGGTGTTCACCACAATTGGTGTTCACCACAATTGGTGTTCACCACAATGAGTGTACGTGTCGGCAGGTCGTGCGTGGTGGGCTAAAGTGTGGGTTACTCCCACCTTCTCAAAGACATCTGTCCAGCTAGGACAAATTAGACCCAACCTCCTTTCGAGCTCCCTCTGTTCGAGGCGCTTCTGCCAGAAGTGGAAGCAACCGCGAGAAAACAAAAGGAAAGGGGGGGGGGGGGGCTGCACCGTTACCCAGACGCGATGTCGAATTGTCAACGTGTCTGATCGTTGCAGGTGAATCCCAACAGCATCGCGGCACGGGACGGGCGCATCAGAGAGGGCGACAGGATCCTACAGGTACCCTCACCTTACAACCGAGATGCACCCGTACGGTGATAACTTTACAGACGGCTTGCATCACGCGCAACTGGGGCTGTGAAACCTTGAAGATTTGGAGAGTCTACGACCGTAGCCCTTTGACATCGTGAAAGCATTTTGACCATGCCTGCCTCCCGCACCAATTGCCGAGCTATCGTCATTTGGCAGCCAGTCTAATATGCAAGCCTAGATTTCTAGCTTTCTAAATGATAGATCAATACATAATATAAATATCATTTACTACTATAATGAGCCAAGAATGTCTGTGTTTCCTGCGCGTGACGTCACTCCACATGAGGCCAACCCTCCCTCATTAATAATCATGAGCGGTTGACGTCACTCCACATGGAGCACCCCCCTCATTAATAATCATGAGCGGTTGACGTCACCACATGGAGCACCCCCCTCATTAATAATCATGAGCGGATGACGTCACCACATGGAGCACCCCCCTCATTAATAATCATGAGTGGTTGACGTCACTCCACATGGAGCACCCCCCTCATTAATAATCATGAGTGGATGACGTCACTCACGTGGACCCCGCCTCCACCACATTAATAATCATGAGCGAGTCATTATTTTCGATTTCATATTTCAGATTAACTGCAATACACCCGTCCCTGGACGGGCTCTAGGCTAGTGTGTATTACACCCAGCTAATGAGCACAGGCCCACAACGCGACGCAGCCAGCAACAAACAACATCTAGAACTTGTAATGGATAAGAGCTCATATGTTTCTTGAATTCAGCAAATGTTATTTTGATGGAAAGGGATTGCAAAGTGGAGCAGCGCGAGGGAAGACGCAGAAAGAGAAGTGACGTGGCCTGCAGTGCACGTGTGAGCAAAAGTGGTGTTGTTGTTGGGACTGCAGAGTAGGGAAGTTGAAAAGAGTGGATGAGCCGAAACAGTCAGTCCGAGTCCTCGGCATGGGCGGAGGAATCGCTGAGCGAAGTTCAGGGTAACGGTAACCACGGTAGTAGGAGCGATAGACGTCGACAAGGAAGCGACTGACCACCGGTGAGCGGAATGAGCGTGCGGGTGCTGGGTCACAATGTACACAGAGGGCCCAACATACGCACGCCGGCCATGCCATGGCCACCCGGACGTGCCCTGGGCGAGCGAGCGAGGGCCCGCATGGCAACACGTCTCTCCCTCTCGCTCAGATCAATGGGCTGGACGTGCACGACCGGCGGCAGGCGGTGGCGCGCCTCACCCAGGAGGAGGGCACCGACGTGTCGCTGCTGCTGGCACGGCCCGACACGCAGGTACGCAGCTTGCCGATACGTGGGACATGCGGCCGTGGTGCATCGGTGCGGACACTGGGCGACAGGGATTCGCGGAGTCCACCATCGGAGCGGATTCTACCGCTCGCAATGCACGTGTGGGGTCGGGCGTCCGAGAAGAGGTTATTTAGTTGATAATTGTTTTTTTACCCTTTCATCTGGCAACAAAACTGACACCTTTTTTACCCAGCTAATTAGCACAGGCCCACAATGCGACGCAGCCAAAAGGCGCCATCTGGTCCAACACCATGTGGGACTAGGCTCTAAAGAAAGCTGTCTCGGGTGTGGACCAATCAATTTCAAGGACAAGTGCATACATTATCAGAGTTATGTTTTTTGTTTGCATTCCGACTGCAGGTATTGTGGTCAATGCAAACATGACTCCTTGTAAAAAAGGTGTCAGTTTTGTTGCCAGATAAAAGGGTAAAAAAACAATTATCATATTTGTTACTGGCAAATGAGGTTCCAAAGGTTATTTAGTTCTTTATAATTTCTTAAATGTATTTTTGGCGATAACCAAATCCCCCTGAATGTACCCACCCTCGTTCGATATTGGAAGCTAAGCAGCTTAGAGTCTGATTACTGCTTGGATGGGTGGCCACCAAGACTGGATAACATAGCGGAATGAAAGTCAAATCACAAGGTGATGGTGAGCACAGAGAGTCGATGTTGATTGATGGATCGTGGCGTGGTGCTCAGCTTGAGGACGGCTGGGTGGAGGAAGAGCACCGAGCTGTGATGGAGACCCTGAGGGTGGAGATTCTGCAGGACGAGCGGATGGAGCCCATCGCCTACATCGGCTCCAGTCTCATCCAGGTGCACACTCTCACCTCGAACCGTTAAGACATTTGGACAGTTTTGGACCATGATGCGTGCAGCACAATGGCCTATGAAAAACACCTGGGTGCACATTGTTGTGGTCCAGTAGTAACCTCCGGTGTTAATCAGGGCGGCCTGCTGAACGCGAACCTCCACAACAAGTGATGAACGGGCCACCGCTGGGTCATGTCACCACCCCTGTTGGAGTGGTGGAGGGTAATAGGTTACTGTAATCAGATTACACAAGACAGGCATCATTAATCCAATATTATCACTCCGTGTTCAGCTTATAATTAGTATTACCTTTACTCTCGCATTACTCTGACAGTTTTAAATTGAGTGCTTTCATTTTTTTAAATTATAAAGTGTCTAGCAACACTTTCAAGGAGGAGGTGGTGGTAATGTCAGCAGCTTGGCCAATGTAATAGCCACAGTGCAACAAGTTGTGCTAGCCACACTTCAACGTTGACCGCCTTGAGGTCACCAGGCAACTTGGAGGTCAGAGCGTTGAGCTGGCACCGCTGAGGTCTTGGGTCTGATTCCGGGCAGCAGCTGCTGCCTGTGGTTAAAACTGAAAGCTGATGGTCTGGACAAAATAAACCACAATAAATGTGGTTCTGCGCTTAACTTGGCTAAATTCAGAGAACCGTACTCTCATATGGCAGAGCGAGCGAGGAAATTGCTGCCCTCTATTATGTGTGGACAGGAGGGTCACTCGAAGGGATCTCAGATGCAGCTCTGTGATATCCGCTTCCACGGGCCATTCTCAAAGATTCACGAGGATACTGCGTCTTGTGACTTGGTGCCAAAAGCGCTATAAATAAACCGAACACAGTAATTGGTAATCACAAGCGGTCAGCTGTTTACACCCAAACATGGCCTGAAATCACAATCTACGCTGCTTTAGTAGTAACCACAATAACACTGCAGAGATCACGACCCAAATGACAAGTCTCAGAACCCGATACAACTTTTGTTTTTTTTCCAAATTTCGCGCAATGAAACGTGTCTGAAATGGTTTTCCGCGTGGCCTCTGTCTCGCGCACCCCCTCCAGGCGAGGGCGCTCCCGGACGACGACGCGGGCCTCACGGACTCGGTGTCGCACGGCCACGGCAAGGACAGCGGCCTGGGCCGCACGGACGAGAGCTCAGAGCACGACGGCGGCATCAGCGTCAGCGCTGGGGGCGCCCCCCGTCGCGCGCAGGGCCCCGCGGGGGCAGCGGCGTCGGCTCAGATCTGCGGCGCCACCTGCGGACGAAGGGGGGACGGCGTGCGGCGTGGCCGACGTGCGGCGCGAGATCGCGCTGCTGCACGATGAGCTGCGGCGCTTCGAGATGCGCGTCCAGAGCCACGGCGGCACCGCCGCCGCAGCCGCCACTGCGGCCGTCAACGTGGCTGCCACCGCGGCCGCCACCGCGGCCGCCACCGTATCTCCGCACGACGTCGGCGCGGAACTAGGACTCACGAACATCGCCGAGCTGCCCGAGGGCCACGACCCGGATCCGGCCTCCGCCGCTTTTGCAACGGCGGCGTCGCCACAGGCGGACGGGGAAGCCGGCGGGAGTTCGCCGCCCGGCGGCCGCGATCCTCGCCACGGCGCTCGCGGCTCAAACGACGCCGGAGCGACGACCCGAGCTCGGCCCGCGGCAAGTGCCGGGCGATGCCGACCGGAGAGGGCGGCTGCGGCGTCAGCGACAACCAGCGCGGACGGGCGGCGCCCCCGTCCCGCTGCACGCGCGCCACTACCGCAGCTACATGCAGCTGGTGCAGCAGAAGTCGGCGGTGGAATACGCACAGAGCCAGCTGAGCCTGGCCAGCCTGTGCCAGTTCGAGCGCCGCGAGGCCGGCGCCGCACGGCCCCTGCCGCAGTCCGCGTCGGCGCCGGCCTCTCCGTACGAGTGGAAGGTGAGGGCGTGCGGTGGCGGCGCGGCAGGGCGCGGAGGGCCGGGCGGCGCCGACGGGCCGGGCGCGGAGGGCTCGCGATGCCTGACGGCGCGCAGGCCGGTGCGGGACCGGCTGCTGCGGCAGCGTGCGCTGAGGATCCGCGAGGAGCGCAGCGGCGTCACCACGGACGACGACGTGCTCAGCGAGATGAAGGTCAGTCCGGATCGCTCCGCGCAGTACCGCCCCTGGCACGATCGGTCGGCTCGAGAAAGTCGTGCGTCTTCAACCGCTCAGCAACCGCGTTCTAGCGGTGATAACGGTGCGCGTTCCGCACTGTACGAGAAGTGTTCCCGAAAGCAAGAACCGCGTTCCAGCGTTATAGTGTGAACACCGTGCATTAAGCGAGCACTCGCCGTCCAGCACACAATTTGCACGAACATTTTTGTCTACATTAACACACACACAACACATTCTAATACATGTCAATATTACATGTAATACACGTGAGTTATCTACAATGATTTTAATTTAAATCATGGCTTGCCGAACTTTCCAGGTTGCCCTGTAGAGCAGCTTGGCTGTAGAGAAGTGCCGTTAAAGTCGGACTCCGGTCCAAGGAAGGCGCATTGTGTAAGATGCTCGCGCTCTGTGCATAATCAGTTTAAAAAAAAATGTGAAAATGTTGTGGTTTCACTCTTCAACACACCGGTGGGCTAAAGTAGTGAACTATTTGTCTTTTGTCAACGTGACACTTTTTTGCTGATTGGCCGTGTCGGGTGGTGGAGGGTTACGACACATTTATAAATAACGCGATCTAACCCAAAAACGTTTGTTATGAATCGGTGCATAATCCGGACATTAAAGCTGAAGGGCTGAAGGGTAGAGCAGTGGTGCAGTGATTTGCGCACTTCCCCATGAACCTGACGACCTGAGTCTAATTCCCGGCCACAGCAAACATCAGTGGCTAGTTGATATCTGAATCGATGTTGGGCCACCCCCTTCACGTTTTGCATTGACCAGTGTGAAGTATGGTCAACAACCCCATAACCGAATTAGAAGTATAAGCTCTAAACTGTATGGATGTATTTTTCTGGAGAACTTTCCCTGGATCATTTCCCCAGTTTGAATGAATAACAGGGTTAAAATGACAGCAAGATTTGACTGCCGAACCAATAATTTGGCATTTTGGCCCAAGAACTGCTTCTTTGCTCCACCATGTTCAAATGGCCGGTGAATTGCTTAAGCCCCGGGTGTAGGCACGTGTCGTTTCCCCTCCTTCCCGCTCGTCACGAACAATCACGGCGGCGAGTTTCTTCCCTCTTGCTCCGGCAAGAGGAGCTACGCTCGCTGCCGCTCATTGGTGTTTCCGCTCTGCCCGACAATTGACTTTTCAACTTAAACGATCGGGTTACACATTGTGCGAAGTGGTGACACTCGCCCCTCGCAGCAAAAAGCGCCTGGGTTCGATTCCCGACCCGGTCGCCTTTCTGCGTGGAATTTGTACTTCAAATACTTGGCAGGACCCGCCTGCAAAAAGAGTCCCGAGGGTCAGAGAGGCTTTTCTCGGTAAACAAGCGCAATATTAAAATAATAAAACCTCTCTCTCCTGTCTATCCTCTCCTCCTTTCCACTCGGCCTGTGGCCGTGAAGACCGGGCGCTACTGGAGCAAGGAGCAGCGCAAGCAGCAGCTGGTGCGGGCACGCGAGCAGCGGCGGCGGCGCGAGTTCATGCTGCGCTGCCGCCTCGACTGGCTCGGGGAGAAGGTGGCTCCGGCAGCGGACACGGCAGCAGCAGCAGCAGCAGCAGCAGCCACGGCGGCGGCCACGGCGGCCGCTGCGGGCGCCGGTGACGGAGTGCCAGCGGCCGCGCCTCCCTCGGACTTTGCTGGCCGCGCGCGTGAGCTGAGCATCCTCGAGCTGAGTCACCGCAAAATGATGAAGAAGCGCAACAAAAAGATTTTGGACAACTGGATGACCATCCAGGAGATGCGCCCACGGGCAGAAGTCGCCCGACGGAAACGGCAAGGTGTACAACCCCCTGCTGTCGGTCACCACCGTGTGACGGGACCCGCGGTCGCCGCGCATCCAACCGCTGGCGCCGGGGGAGGAGCGAACTGCCACGGCGTCGAGGGACGTTCAGCGTCGAGGCCTTGGACTGTCACGGAGCGCGCCGGCCAAGTCGGTGGTCGCGGGCGTGCTTCCCGAGCTGCTGTCATTTGCAAACGCATCCTGTCGAGAAGGATGGCAGGCGCACGAGGTGCCACATCCCTCACATTGAAGACCAGGCCACGTGTAAACGTAATGCTGAGGCTAACGTGTGATGCACGCTCGAGTTCATGGAAAACACACCCCACAAAGCCATGAGTCATTTTTGTCAATGTCAAATCTGTACTGATTCATGCAACGGGGCTGTTTTAAACCGGCTTCTCTGTCACTCTAGGGTCCAGCAGATGCTATTGATGGACCCGGCATGCATCCATGATGTGTGGATGCACCGATGCCAGAACAGCGTGTTGGTGATTACAAGCCCATGAGCTGCACATAAGTCTAACAGCCTCCTATTGTTATTGAGCTGATCTGGCCCATGCCTTACAATAACTGCAGCCCAGGTGCCTGCAACATAACCCACAAGGGCATTACAGTCACTCGCAGGATGACTATTCCGAGGGCCCACTTTAGCCAGCACCTGACACAGGTGGTCATAGAGGGCATCTGACTCATCAGTCTCAATCTTCAGTGGGGACATTAAGCCACTCCACCACCAATCCCCGCCTCCCCTTGATGGGGAGGCAAGCCACAACAGCCTCATACTTATAGCTTCCCACACTTTGCATCCATGCTCCCACGCTCCCTTCATTATTTTGTTCCGAGGGAGAGCCACTCACTACCCCGAATGGAGGACTGTCCACCTCTCGTGAAAACTGGAGGCAGAACAAGTCCACAGGACCTGTCATCCGCAGAGGCCTAGATGGTACCAGTCCAGCTCCTGACAGAGGAATGGCAGCCTCTCCCCTACGTGGCCAACTGCAATGGGTCCCTGCCGTTTCCTGGCTCCGCCAAATGGAGTTGGTCTAGGAAGACGTCGTGAATGCCTTATCCTCCGTGGCCTCTCACACCGGCACAAGCTAATCGGGAGTTTCCACCAAACGATATTCACACACAGAGAGAGACACACCTCATACAACCCCATCCCATACCGACTCGCGCTGCATTCACCCTCACAAAGCACTGCACCTCACACACAAGGGATTATACACGACAGTGCTCCACACTACGTGTAAAAGAAAACAAATTTCCCCCGTGTAGCCTTAACAGACTGTAGGGTCGATTGCTGTTAGCGAGCACCTATAAAGGCCAGCACAGCACACTAGGGGGTGGGTGGTCAACACCACGCCCGGCCGCCTTTATCTCCCTAGTGGCGATGTTTACATATCACACCAGGTGCTCATTTGAGGCTGAGTCGACCTAGGGGAGGCCCAGAACCGGTTCATATAATAGTCACTGGTATTTGCCGTGAGCGGGAATCGAACTCAGGTCACCAGGTTCGTAGCGCAGTGCGCTAACCACTACACTACCGCTCCCCACCATACACGCATACACGTGCAAATACCATGGACGTGCGTTAGCTAACGTATGGTAACAAAACACGCGGAAAACACAACGCGTGCCAACATTCACTAACAAAACGTAGGCTAAAAACTAATGACCACACGCTCACACATGCACACAACCCTAACATAAAACATCATGAATCTACAACGCACACATTAATCCCAACCTTATAAACTAAAACACTAAACTATATTAATGACTATTTATCATGAACAAACAAATCTGGTGTTATTATTACTTATCAAATAAACACGAGGAATTTCCGGGGCCCATTTCACCAACATTGCAAACGCAAGTACACACGACTGGTTAAACCCGGCAGCTTTCGTCTCGATGTTAAAACAACTCAAACATGACGACAAATACAATAACGTCAAATTAGATCGAAGACATCGATAACAACAACAGCAGCAATTAAACATTAAGTTGTGTAACCAGCAGGAGGCGAGAGGATACGCTATGCCCCCAGGTGATTACGTTGACGCCATCATCACACACAATCCTCGCCACGGCTTCATCTGCTGTGGCCACGTGGTCTGTTGGGCAGCAAGCGGGCAGCCGGCTGCTTCAGGCCACGTGGCCCTCGTGGTGAAGCAAGCCCAGCGGTGAGGCTGGATTTGAAGCCACCGGTCACGTAAGAGGGCCACGTGGAATTTGTCTTGCGAACAACGATTCGCAGTGGTGGCTGTACACGCATGACGCTAAACCCTTATTTAAGCGAAGACTGTAAGAATGTTTAAAAAATAGGCCAGTCCCTGGAGGATTAAGCGAAACGTGTAGATACGTCTGTACATTATGTACCTCGGCCTGAGTTGCACAAGCAAGTGTATTGTCCCTCTCTGGGAAATACTTCCACTGTTGGTCATGTTTATTTGTATATCTGTATCTCGGTAAGCTTCATAACTGCGAACCTTTCCACAATAAATTTGTCATCAAACATGAGGAGGCCTCTGGGTTTTGTGTTCTAAGAATTAGCACTGTTAGTGCAAGAAATACGAATTATTGTACATTTTTCACTTGAAACTTTCGTGACTGCAGGAATTCGTATCCTTTGGTTCTTTCGGTAAAGTCACGTAGATGGAAAAATAATTTTAATGATAAAAAAATAATTTTATTTTTCTATCTTCGTGACTTTACCGAAAGAACCAACGAATACAAATGATAGTTCACCAACTTCACCATGAGTGTCACGAGGCTTTCCATTGGCGCTGTCAACGGCGCGCCCGTGGGGTCGAGTGGCCTGAATTTAATTCTAGATTTGAAGTTTTCGTGACTGCAAGGGTCCATCCTCTGGTTTTTTCAGTAAAGTCACGTAGGTAAAAAAGAAAAAAATAAATTAAATCACGACGTTTCGAGGCAACACAAGCTTCCGTCTTCAGGTGGCACCGTCACAGCACAGACGGAAGCTTGTGTTGCCTCCGAAACGTCGTGATTTAATTTATTTAATTAAATTTTTTACCTACGTGACTTTACCGAAAAAGCCAAAGAGTATGGTCTGAATTTGCGACGAACGTCTCGACACCCTGCACTGGCCGTCTGGGTCTACTCGTGGCAGACGGCTCGTCTTGATTCCTTCAACCCATGCCGAGGACAACGGGGCGACTGCTTCTTCTCTCCGTGCTGCACTCACCACCCTGCAGGTCACCACACTTCTCCCTCTGCCTCTCCGCTCACACCACTCCACTTGATAATCGCCTACTCCCATCATCATCATCGCCTCTGTTCCCGGAGCACTTCTAACAATTGTACTCATCTCACGAAGCGTGTTGCACTGTTATCTATTACAATTTTGACGGCGCTGCTGGTTGCTGCTGCCCGCTTCACCCTTTTGGGCCCGTGCTCCGAACTGTGTTCAACAAAATAAATGCAGCGCATGTTACACATTCCTGCGGAGGGAGCTGGTAGGAACGTTGGGTTGCTCGGTCAATGGCCAGGGTCAACGGCGGCGTGGTGTATTCCGCAAATATGGCCGACTGTGAGGACGGGCACAAGCCGGCGTGAATAGGTAAACGTTGAGTTTTATAAGGGCACCACGGGGTGACCAGCCCCTCCCCACCCAGCCCCACCCAGCCCCACCCCACCCAGCCCCTCCCCACCCTCCCTGCACGACGGACACAATAATCCCCTGTGGGCTGGTGTCGTCCTAAGCGTGGCTCCACCGTCACGCGCTCCACCGTCAAGCGCTCCACCGTCACGTGCTGCCCATCCATCAGCGGAGGGAGGATGGACGGCCACACGGACTCGTCGGCGACGAGGTGAATCCAACAGTCGTTCTTGTAGGTTGAGAGTGGAACAGGGAATAGGACTGGGGTGGGGGATTCAAATGATAGCCTCACCTACCACTGTTGCTGTATCCCACACTGAATGGCGATGATTTCTTGGTAGAGGTATAATTTTTTATTGGTTGAACGGGTGACCCAATATGGTTCTGGGCAACATGGGTGAAGGTGGAAACGTGTGGACGGGAAGTAGTTGTTCAAGGGTGGCTTGGGTCGTGCTTCCTCTGCTGAGGTGCAGCGAACACGGCCCTTGAAAACGGTTGTGAAGGTAACGAGCGGGGGGGGGGGGATCAAACTAAAAACGAAACTTTTTTATTTTACCAGGTAAGGCCCACGGAGCTATGTAGCTCTTTTTCAGAAGCGACCCGACCACAAATGACAGCTCAACGAAGTGGCTTATCGTGTGGAAATTTATAGCAGCCAAATACTCTAAAACGCGTGGTCCTGATTCTAAATGGGGAGGAAACCCCAGAGGAAGCAGCGGGGGAAAATCTACGCGATTACCAAATATGCAGCAGGCGAGGTAGTTAATATCTCGCCACCGTGGCACCCTAAGGCAGAGACTCCCACGGAAGTGAACGCCCTGGAGGGGGAATGGGGGCGCTGGTGCGGCGGGGCGCTGGTGGAGCTTTTCGTCCTCATGGGAGCCGCAACTCGGTACAGCAGCAGCTCGAGCCGAGTCTCGTAAACGAGTAGAGGCAGCCTCTTCTGGCGGGGTGAGACGAGGAGGGTGCACGCCACAAACGGACCTCGGCAGGACGACCTGGGAAGGTGTTGGCAGCGACTAAACAACCCGGCGGCCGGTGCAGCTGAGCGCGCAGACAGAAGGTGGCGGCTGCCTTTGACGGGGCGAGGCCACGCAGGGGGAATATCAGGAGGAGCCTGAGAGAGCTCGGGGCTGCCGTGGGATCGTGGTGGACTGTTGCCACGCCGCCGGTGTCTCCGTGCCGTCTCTGTCTCCGTGCCGTCGTTGCTTGGGTGCTGTCCTAGCCCAAGTATCTGTTGTTATTCTAGCCCAGTACCGTATGCTAGTCATAGCTAAGTACTGTAGGATGTGAGAGTACATTATCTGCGCCCTTAATAAATAAAGAAGACGAAAAGTGTCAGAGTCATTGCACAGTGACCTCGCCAAAAGCCACTGCAAGGATGACCGGAGTTTGCATGATGGTTTATTCCCTGACGAAATCGGCAAGGTGTTGCGATTCATTTGTGGCAAGCGCTTGTACAGTAATTGAAAGCTTTATTGCTCAAATACTTCAGTCTTGATACACGAGAGGTTAGTGTTGCTGGTCAAGATGCGACGATCTGACCCAGTGGCACCGTGGTCAGAACGCGCCTCTCACAATGTAGACATTAACACCCTGAGTCGCCCACACCCTTCCAGGATTTACACATTCAATTCCTGCAGAAGGGCTGGGGAGTGATTTAACCAATCCACCCCTCCTGAGGTTGGGGACGCCAAGTGGTTTCCCCTCTGGATACCAGCCTCTACCGTGGTAATGTGGAATTTCTACCATTGGCTTGGAGCCACTAACAGGCACAACCCATATGCTTCAGTTGAGGGATGCACTCATTTTTAAATCCTTTATATTAAGTTCACTTGCTTGCTTGCTTGCGCGCTTACGACCGTGCAAATCTTTCGGTCGTTTTTTAACCCACTTCCCGTGATCCAATCGAGTTGACATTTTTCACACAGACTCGTTGTGCGAGACAATTAATGTTCGTGAAAACAAATTAAATATTTAATTACCAATTGCTTAATACTGCAGACAATCATCTGACCCATAGGTGGCAGCCATCTCAAGCCAGAGGACGAGAGGACTCTAGCCGCCACGCATATAAAGGATTTATAGTGAAAAACTTTGTTTTTACGGGTTATACTTATTTCACGTGAAAATAAACTGAGTTGGAAGATACATAAATGTGGCTGCTGAACTCCAAGCTCTGGGTTTCACCCCCCCCACCCGCCTCCATGCGCTGGGTTGCAGACTGACACAGAGCGGCTCCCAGCATGCACCGCGTGGGCGGGGCGAGGGGCCCCGTGTGGCTCTATCGCCACTAGGGGGCGCTACAGCGGTGCCCCTCAAGTCTCGTGGCTGTGACTCGAACCAAGCCTCCCACGTGTATCGGGCAGCACGTGATGCACAGCTGAGGTATGTATCTAGAAAACAGCAGCGGTCCTCTCTGCGGTGGTGCATTCAGCCCAAGGGGACGCGTGTTCCTGTGAGACGTCCGTGTAGTCATCAAGTACCACTACGTCGGTTTTCGCGGTTGTGCTTTATAGCTCCCGATTGTGATTTTTGGGTTGTGCTGCATGTTGTTGACACACTCGCACAGACACGCACACACACACACATACAGCAGCACAGTAAGTGGGCACGTAAGCCTGTCTGTTCAGCAGACTGTTACAGAGTGGTTTCGCCCAGGTGTGCTATGGGCTCACCACTTTGCGCGCAAGTGGTGAGCCCGTGTGCACCGGCTGACGAAGCTAGTGAGTAGTAACGTCGGCCGGCCCACATCAATCGCAGCCAGCATCCAGAAGAGAAGCTCCCAGTTCGTGGAGCGAATCATCGGACAACGCGAGGCACAACCCGGAACGCGAGCGAGCGAGCGAGCGAGAGTAGTGACCGACGTCCGCGCGCCGTCCTCTACTGCGGCTCCGCAGACGCCGCTGCCGCGCTGCGCTCGAGCTGCCCCAGCAGCACGTGGGCCACGCGGCCGCAGTACGTGTGCGCCGCCTCGCCCATGGCGGCACGCGCCGGCGCCAGCAGCTCGGACTCGAGGTCGCCGCTGCCAAGTCGGTACTGCACACGCACGCACGCACGCACCGTGACGGTGTGAGGTTGAGGAGTGGCCGGTGTCTTCACAGCGTCCGTGCCAGACGCGCCGCTGCACGCGCAGAGCATCTGCGTTCAGGCGGGCAGGCCAGCAGAGTGGCTACCGAGTGTGCAGGAGGTTCAAGTTCAAGTTCATTTATTAGGTATAGCCCTGTGAGCCATTCAGCTCTTGAATCGGGTGCAACCGCAACAAACAAAAAACAAAAACATGAACAAAAAAACATCTTAAAGTGAATATGTGACTAAGTGCAAACAGAAAATCCAAGAAAAGACAGCAAAAATATTGCAGAAAAAAACACCGTACACCAACGCTGTGTGCAAAAATCCCAGTGGGATGCAAGTCAAACAACAACAACAACCACAAGACAACTTAGATTAAGGCCATCATCTAACTCTGTACTACACAACACAAACATGGCTAAACCAATACACTTTTCGAAATCACCAAAATAAAGCCATGAAGGCAATGAAAAAGCAATCATAGGAACTGACGGAATTTTCACAATAAATGGCATAAACAACATGTACTACCAAAACCCTGCAGCCATAGCTGGCTGCATGAGTCACTCCACAACAGCAGGAGCATCAATCGGAGTATTGTAATTTTTCAATGCACCTTTAAGATCAGCACACTAAATCAAAACACAGGTCATACTTTGTAGCGATCATCCGGAGCGAAACATTTTATTTTAGGTCACTGAATAGCACTGGCAGCTAGGGGTGTACAACTCCTCTAAAGCAGTTTTGAGTGAAGATCTCATAGGTAGTGACTCAAGTTTCAATTTATTTGCAACAGCATTCCAGACCCTGGGGGCATCAATAGCAAAGGCCCTTCCTCCAGTATATGTACGGCAATAGGGAATATTAAGCTGGTAAATGAGTGTAGACCTTAGGTCAAATTTGTTCTTTGAAACAGAGACGAGATCCAGCAGGTAATCTGCAGATTTTTTTGCAAGTACATCATGAATAAATAAGATCTGGTGCACAAGCCGTCGAACATTCAGAGATGTTAAGTTTGACCCAATGTAGAGATCACAGTGGTGAGTCCTATATGGGCAGTTCAATGCAAATCTTAAGGCCGAGTGATACATTGAGTCAAGCTTCTTCAGTACAGTACTTGGGGCTGATTTATACACAATGTCACAGTAATCAAGTAGAGGCAGTACGGTAGCTTTAATCAATTCCAAACGGAACATAGGAGGGAAGCAGTGCTTGTGTCGATATAGAAAACCAATTTTAATTTTTGTCTTTTTCCCAATATAATCAATGTGATCTTCAAAATTCAGTTTTGAATCCAGGATGACCCCAAGATACTTATAGATCTTGACTTGCTCTATTTGATCATTATTTAAGGTATGTAATTGGGGAAAAATAACTTCCCGCTTTAGTCCTGGTGAGAAGCATAGCACCTTGGTTTTGGCAGGATTTAGGACTAGTTTAAGAGCAACTAGCTGATGTTGTAGTTTGTTGAAATCACTCTGGAGCTTAGCAATCACGTCATCCGGAGAGCGGCCAGCAGTAATTAGTACCGTGTCATCTGCAAAAAGATTTACCCTGGAATAATCCAGTTCAGTGCCCAAGTCATTTACATAAAGAGAAAACAAGAGGGGGCCGAGAATGGAACCCTGTGGAACCCCTTTTGTTATCTTAACACTGTTTGACCTCCAACCATCTGTGAATACAGTTTGGGTGCGAGAAAAGAGGTAATTTTTTAACCATTTTACTGTGTTTTCGGAAAAACCGAGGCAACTTATTTTACTAAGCAGGATGTTGTGGTCTACTGTATCAAAAGCTTTGGACAAGTCAAGAAAAAGACAGGCGCAGTACTGCTTATTATCAAGGCTACTGTAAATGTGATTCAGAGAGTCTAATGCAGCAGATGTGGTGCTGTATTTTTTTCGGAACCCAGATTGTTTTAGATGTAATAGATTGTTGGCGGACAGGAAACTGCTAATTTGGTAGGTCAATAATTTTTCAAAAATTTTCATCAACGGGGACAAAATTGAGATAGGTCGGTAGTTATTTGGATCATCTTTAGGGCCCCCTTTGTGAAGTGGACGAACATAGGAATGTTTCCATTCTAGAGGAACTGATGCTTCTTTGATGGACAGGTTGAAAATATGGGCTATAGGTTTGTATATTA